CAAAGCGCAATTCTGGCTCTGAAGGTTTTTCCCCTCACTTGCCATCTCCCACCCCTCCAGGGGCAGAATCAAAGACAGTCCGTCCCTTTCTCGAGCCCCCCGTGGATCGAGGCGCACGGCTCTTCCTCGCTCGGAATCCGGCGCATCTCAACCCCGCGGGGGAGGGACCAGCCGGCTGGGATCGGCGCAACAGCTGGAGCCCCTAGCTCTCCGCGCGTGGCGCTCTTCTCCGTCTTGCGCAAGCGCCGGCAGCCGGGTCCGGGTCGAGCCCCGAGTGCTGCGGGAGGATGCTTCGCGCCCGGTAGCTGGGCGCCTTGCGGCACCGCGGGCCAGGGCGCAGGAGGCGCGCCGCCACCGCCATGCGCCAGGCCTTGACTCAGCCGCGCTCCAGTGCGATCCCGCTCTCCAACTCGGCCGGTGAGTGGCTCGATCCGCGCTCTGGACGGCGGGGAGAAGGCCGGCTGGGCACCGGGGCAGGGCGAGAGCCGGCGCCCCTCGCCAGCGGGCAGCGCGCGCCTGGGCGCCGTGCGTAATTGGCGAGGGCCTTTCTGCGCGCAGCCTGGGGGTCTTTCGGCCAGCGGGAGAGGCGGCTTGATCGCTGCAGGGCGAGGGGGGCACTGAGCGCCTGGCTCAGCCTCCGGCTGCGTCTCCCATTTCCCTTCCTTGCCCCCCCATTGCCAAGAAACTTGGCGGTAGCAGCTCCAGGAGCGCCCTCCCCCCTCCCCCGCACCAAACAGGGAGAAGAAGGTTGCGGTCTCTAGACCTGGAGCAGCCAGCCTGAACTTCAAGGGTTCCCTGGAGCCAGGAGTTCTCTGGGTGGCAGTGGACCAGCCCCTTTTCTGCAGCGAGGGGGGAGGAGAGAAAATGATGGGGGTGACCCCCGTATATGCCACTTGGAGCTTTCAGAGGAAAAGCAGGATATTAGTGACAAAAAAATGAGTGTTTAAAAGAAAGTGGGGGGGAGCTGGCCACCAAAATTGAAAGTGCCTGGATGAAAGATGACCCCTTTCAGAAATAGAGTTCTTCCCTTTCCCCCACTTAGGTTCCATTTACTTAAAATAATCTCTCCTTCCTTGTTTTCCTATTGAATAGCAAAAGAAGTAGAGATCTCTAGTTGGGCACCACTCTTCTGTTCAGATAATATATGGTTTTGGTCACTTGGCCCCTTTGGTTTCCACTTCCCTGTTTGGGGGATTTCTCCAAGGAAGAGCCCAACCTAGCTGGCCACCTTGTGGGCAGGTGACATATGTGGTCACCATTACCTTCCTTCCTTCTAGAGAAAGTCAGCTCAAATCCACAGCCCTTGATTTGTATGAGTGTGGATGGAGATTCGGTCCCCATCTCCCCAGGTAGGAACCTGGAAAGATGTCTCTGCAAAAACCCTGAGAACCACCATCTTCAGGTGTTGGTGCCTTCACAACTTCACTAAGGCTGCTCAATTAACCCACTCCTTTGACTTCAAAGATATACTGATTTGAATCATAAAGGCTGGTTTTCCTCAGCCATTCAGAAATTCAAGGCAAGGGATGTGGACTTTCGGAAAAAAATCATCTATCCACTAGCTACTAAGACCCAGGGTCTAGTCTGGCCCCTTTTAGAGGCTTCCTTGGTTGAGTATCTACCTAAAATAGCTGATGCCAAGCATTCCCCTTTAGTTCTGCGAGTTGTGACTCAGTTTCACACACTTTCACTTTTCAAAGAAAATTCTCCTCCAAGTGCTTACAGTTCAACATTGGTGTTGAATTGCTAAAGAAAGCAATCTCACGTCCGCTTGTTTAAATCAGAAGTGGGCCATACATAAAGATTGGAGGGGGAGGCAGGATGCAAGACCCACAAATCAAAGAATTTGGGCACAGAATTTATCCCTTTTCTGTATGCATGTGCATGTGTGCACACATGTGGACGTGCAGAGAATTGTCTTTTTTTTTTCTACCAACGGGGTGGATATTATTTGAGTGTTGTTGTACCCCATCTCAGAACAGCAGAACAAAGCAACTCCATGTCTGCCCTTCAGCAGTAGCACTGCCAACATTTAGTAGCAGGATTAACAGGATCTCCAGGGGGCACAGAAAAGGGTAGGGAAGGGAAGCCCATCCCTGGATTATAGTGTGCCTACAACTAAACACCCTTACATTGGAGTAAGTTTAGCTGAATGCACTCTGCTGACTTCTGAATAAATACAACTAGCGTTGTATCTAAAGCACATTTCTGTATTCGATTTGGAAAATGGCATCAATTTTTTTTTTTTTTTTGGTGGTATCTGCACAGGCTGTTAGTCTCTTAGCTGACTAGACAGATCCTTGTTAG